AATTGAGAAGCACGCTCTAATTATTATATTATTAATAGTTTCAAGTATCCATTTATTGTGTTAGATAATCATATTTCGATCCACTGCTGTGGTACAAAATAGGATGTTAAAAAAGGGCCGATTTTTTTTTTTAAATAAGTATAAATAAAAGAGATATTTATTTTATAGATTTTGATTTCCTAATTACGATAAAATTAATACAATATATATACGTATAAGTCGTGTGAAATCGATAAAACAACGACGTACATGACATATTATTACGCGTATTTTATGTACATTTTTTTAATGTATTAGCTTCATACATCATCCGAATTTCTATAAATATGCCATGTTTTTGCTCAATTTTCAAAAGGTTCTCTAAATCTTTTTTAGAACAAATTTTTTTAGATTTATCATATTCAGTCAAAATCTATTAAAAATATTTCTTTTCTTAAATTTTACAGCTTTTTTCTACCTTTTATTTACATTTACTACAATTGGCTCATTTTAATACCCTTTTTTTACATATTTTGAATATCGTTTATCACAATGCCTCTTAAATTAAAAAGATAAATTTTATTTAAAAATATTTAAAATATACTTTTTGATAAAATATCATAATTACATAAAGCGAATTTCTACTATTAAGTTACAAAATAAAGTTAAAAGTTTTTCTTAATAGTTTATTTAAAAATGTTAATATTATTTTAGATAATATTTTTAATTTTTATTTTTTAGTTTTAAAATCTTATGTTTTCGAGCAAAAAATGAAGTTATACTGCAATTACAGTAATGATTTTAAATGCTATTGTAGAGTTGTTAGAGTTTTTTTTTATGAGTTACGATTATTTTATGTTACGATCAATTAACGTAACGAAATTAAGAATTTTTTTCTCTCTGTTGGACAATACAACGGTCACTTCACACGCACTCCAACTATTTAATTCACATTGTATAACACATTCACGAAATCTTGCAGAGTCAGCCAATACCTTCAGATCGCACCGCGAACACTTTCACATGCGATTCCTCATTGAAGCTTTCTCTCGCACGTTCTCTGTCGGATAAGAGGAAACAAAATATACTTATCCGTTTGTTGATTGATAAGCATCTAAGTGGACCACTTATCTCAAGAAAATCTTCAAAACGTGTTGCGAACTATAGTATAAGAGTAATCGGTGATTATGAGATGCTAAACGGAAAACGAGCGTGAATCAGATAGGGCAAACGAGATATGTACTTGGTCCACATGCTCTTGCGTATTCTGACCTGGTTTTCATCCAACCCGAATAGTCGAGTTCTGATTGAACTAAACCGAGCTATAAATCATGGTTTAACGTAACATTTACTTACACGTACATCTACAATTATTTTACTTAAACATTGCCGACAATTAAAATTGCCAATGGAACAAATTTATATAATAGTATCGATTATCATAAGTTTATAGGATCTGTTAAATGTTAATTAATTGATTGAAATGACAACGATTGAAACAAATATTTAACAAACCTGTCATGATAAAACCTATTGCTAACATAAAATTAAATCTTGAATTAAAATCATTTTTATTCAAAAATTTGATTATTACGTAAAAAAACAAAAAGTTAATTAAAAATAACTTGTACGAAAACTAATTTGTAATAGAAAGTAACAATTTCTGTATCTTCCTCTATCTTATATACACTATTTCTATTGTAATTTATATATGATTTTATATCTGTACAAAATTTATAAGTATTACTGAGAAGAACGTGAGAAAAGATCTCCTATTTAGTGATCAAAAACTACTTTCTTATTCCTTTTCAAATAATGTTCTCACACAAATGAGAATTTGATTATTCATATTATTACAGAAGACATGTGAACTAAGCAAGATTATTATCGATTATAAAATATATAATCCATAGATAATCCATAGATTTAGAAACTTGTTAAGCATATATAGGCTGGTAACTGTTACTAATATATGCGACACATCTTCTGACACTTTCTTATTCTTCTGATAATATCCGCTTCACAGGAGAACATTGCCGTCGTTTATTATATCATAGTATTCTATCACATGCATGCCGTCGTGATTCACACTTGCCGAGACTGGTTTGCATTCTACATTATTGTATCCTGATAGCGTGTTACTCCACATGTTAAGAGCTCGTTTCTAACAATAAGAATGACTCATACTTTGAATTGACTAATTACAAAGTTTAATTTAGAGCATTTGTGTGACGCTTGTAATAATTCTGTTATATATAAATCGCTTATATTTAACTGCATTTTAAATCTAATTATATATTATTTAAGATATAAAAGACAATTTATACTTATATATAATTATATATATATAAGCATTTCTTTTTTAAATAACAGTTTTTAATACATAATTATCAATTAAAAAATTGTAAGAAGTTACTAGAAAAAATGTAACTATTATTTTTATAGATTTCTTATTCATTTAAAAAACTCAATACATAGAATAAAGTAATCTTAAATTAGACTTAAAACTTAAATTTGAATAACGTAAATTATCAAATAAAATACTTTCGAAAATTTTACCATGTTAATGAAGAGAATTTCAAGTTGCATTTTTAATTATGAAAATGAGAAAATGCTGCGCGTATCCAATAATCACAGCTAACATTAACAGGGCTTGGCAGGTCTTTATCTTTATTTGTCCTTATGACTTGACTTTACTGTGTTAAAATCCATTTGTTATAATTCGCCAACAGCTCATTGTACGTGCACGCAGAAAGTGAGAGGACGTAAGCTTCTCGTAACTCGTAATAGTGCCCGACATTACTTTCACAACGAGAGCAAGGTCTTATTTTCTACATTGATGGGTTTCGCTCTTTTATTTCTATCGGCGTGCTTTATTTCAATGTCCATTTACGTTATGTATAGAAATATTAAATAATTTTTAAATGTAATTTATATTCATGCAAATTAAATCTACAAAAGCGAATAATTGCTCGTGCATATAATTAATATGAAAAGATTGATTATGTAAATATTATGATAATTTTCCATTGAATCTGAGAAAAACGCAATTTTTAAATAAATATACCTTGAAATGTGAATATTATAAAAAAACATCTATGACATTTGAAAAGAATTTTATTGCATTTGTTGAAGCCGAAGTATGAGGAGAATTAAAAAATAGAAAATTAAAAAGTAATTATATATATTTAAATACATAATGCTTGCTAATTTATTCAGTGTTTAAATTGTTTATAAAATTATTTGTTTCATATGGCTTTTAATTAAAACTTTAAATTTATACAAAAAGCTAAATATAAAAATATGAATATTTTAAAAAATAATATATATTTTTATACTATTTATATTATTTTTATATATTTCATTTTGGAGGGAATAAATAATTGATGAAACATTAGAAACAACGTTGGTAATGTCAACATCGTTTTTATCAACGTTCTATAGCAGTGATTCTAGATAGAGAAGAAATCTTTCTTGAAATGTAATACGTTTAGAGAATATGATGACATCTATTGAATAAAGTACAAACAGGCTTATAAAATTTATCAAATTTTTATACTATTTATTGTTTAGTTATTAAGTATTCACAATATTCAGTAATTTTTAATAATAAAAATTTAGTAAGCTACTCAAGTTCGATTTCGATAAAATTTTAGATATGCAGTACTAACTAAATATAGTTAAATGCATAAATGCGGAATTGCGGAAATATTTAATTTTCGAAATATTGAAATTTTATTTATTTTGTTCAATTAACGTTTTTTAAAATTTTGATACTAAAAAGTAATTAGAAATAATTTTTAATTAATAGTTTTATATTAATATATTGAGAAATTATAATTACAATGTTAATACAAAATTATTTAAAGACAAACAAAGAATAAAAAGCTCATTTTCCTATATTTTATTATATTATTAGTATTTAAATAACAGCAGGAAGTATAATTTAACATTAATTTTAATTATTTGTATTATGTGATTAATAATTTGTGTGTAAAAAATTATTTTTTAATTTTTTCATCTTGCGAGGCTTTTGTTAATTTTACAAATTTATTGTTTGTATGTAAAACATACAAAATGAATATTTGAAATAAACACACATGGAAAGTATCACTATAAGTTTTTTGCAATTACTGTACAATTAAGTGTTTCAAGTTCCTATGTATTATTATTAAAATCAATTACACAAAACTTGAATTTAAACGACAACACGCTGAAATTTTTCGCTTTCCTACAATAACGAATCTATTATATACTAAAAATGGACTCGTGAAGATTAGCAAAGACCCCTATGCAAGTGACAGTTTTATGAAATTAAAACATAATTTTCCTGTACAAATTATTAATCAAACAACAGATAACTAATGTTTAATTTTGTAAAAATAACGTTTAATTTACTTCCTTTTGTGTGTTTGAAATACTTTTAAAATAATAGAATATAAAAATATAATACTTTATTCATTATTTTTTTTATAATAATGATATTTTGTAAACATAATACGTAAATACAATTTCTCAATATATTAATAAAACTATTCAATAAAACAATTTGTAATTGTAATTATTTTCTTATGTTAAAATCTTTGAAAACGTTAATTAAGCCAATTAAATAAAATTTGAATATTTCAAAAAATAAGGATTTCCGTAACTCCGCATTTCTTCTAAATTTGACCGTTTAGTTAGTATACTACATATCTGTAAACTTTCTTGAAAATTGAACTAGAATAGCTTACTAAAGTTGAATATTCTGAATTAATAAGCTTAAATAATAAGAATCAGATAATACATAATTGTAATGTTTTATTTTATTTAGATTATAAACATTTTTATATTCAATATAATATAATAAATTGAAAATATACAGATTGCGTAAAATAATTTTAACATACTATACCTTTTAAGAAAATTAAAAGAGTTTTTTAGCTTTGCATTTATTCCATTTATTTTTATTTATCGTATTTATTATTAGTATATACAATATATTATCAATATATTGAATTAATATATTATCAGTATATTATCGAATTTTTTATATTTATATCATCAACTTTTTTTATTCTGATATCATAATTTACTTTTTATTTGTGCGGGCTCTTAACTTTAAGTGGATCCTGAGTTCAGCTCTGGACTTATTGTAAGACGTTCCATCTGTATCTTATCCGGATGGAGGTGCTGTGGTAGATCCTGACCCGGACTGAGGTGTTCCACCTGTACTTGATCCGGACGGGGGTGCTGTGGTAGATCCTGACCCGGACTGAGATGTTCCACCTGTACTTGATCCGGACGGGGGTGCTGTATTCAATCCTGACCCGGACTGAGGTGTTCCACCTGTACTTGATCCGGACGGGGGTGCTGTATTCAATCCTGATCCGGACTGAGGCATTACGCCCATTCCTGGTATTGGCTGGGGCATTGAGTTCGATCCTTGTACAGGCGGAGTAGTTGTAGTTTCTGCTGGTGTAGATGATATACTTTCCGCTGTTGTACCTGATTAAGGATTACTGATAATCAACTAATTAATCAAAATTTTCTTCCTGAAATATCGATTACCTATTATATTAATATTATTAAAATTTTATTAATAGTTATTTTAAATTTGATATTTGATTGCATTGAATTTTAACTTACATTTTAAACTGAACGATTTATCAGTACATTAAGTATTTTATATTTCATAACTCATAAATAACAAAGGTTATTAGGTTTTTTGTTATCAATATATATATAAACAATTATAAATGTATATATGCATATAAAACTTATAAATACTACCGTCTTCATGCAGAATATGAAATTTATGTAATATATATGTTGCATCTAGCGCCAAAATTATTAGATATAAAAATAAATTTTTGGAAATTAGATTAACTTATCCTAATAATTAGATACTTTTTATTAATTTCTAAACTGGGTGCATTTAGGAATTCGTCCAGATAACTTTAAGCTTATAGTTTACGTTACGTATATTATAGCAAAATGCATACCATGCATCTGTGCGTAATTCCTAAACACTCTTATAATCTCATCTAAAAATCTTAGGAAAGATGCGTAACTGATGACGTGACTAGCTATTCTGTGATTGGCCAGCGTGTTTCTTGCTCCCAAAAATAGATATTGGTAGGCGCCAACTAACTTATATGACTCTTTTTTGTGGTTGGCTAATGTGATTTTTGCTCAAAGTCATGCAATGTAATTAGTTGACGCATCTTTTCTAGAATTTCTATAATCTCATCTATAATATAGATATAAAAATTTCGTTAATAAGGGATCGCGTTGATCAATATGAAATTAATAAATTCTGGATAATCATAAAGGAAATGTAAAGGAATTATTCAATTATTTCTAATATTTCCATAAAATAAACAATTAATATAACAGTTAATAAATATATATTCTAGAATTTATTTTTAAATTATAACATATTTTTATATAATACATGTGAAAACACAATCAATACGAAATAGAAATGTTTATATCGGTCGAAACTAGATCTTTAATGCTTAAATAATTTAATGTGAATTATATATATACACTATGTACATATATAGTATATATATATATAATTCACATTGAATCATTTAAGCATTAAAGATCTTAGCTTCGACCGGTATAGATATTTCTAGTTTGTAATGATTTTTAAATGTTGATTTTTTTATCTACAATCTCTATGCATTATAAAATCGTAGTTACTATAATTGATCTTACTTTTCGTTGTACTTTCCGTTGGCGTACGATGTGGTAAATACAATTCAGGACATTTCATAGCACACACAACATTAAAGAAATATGGCATGGTATCTGCAGATTTGCAATACATGCCACAAAAATTTTGACGTAGCTTATCTAGTTCTGTGAAACCAAATCTTCGGATTCGTGAAGCACGATTAGTCTCGGGTGAAACGTAATGTTGTAATCCGCCATGAGACATTACATGCTAAATATTATATATATTATTTGTTAATTATATTGTGTTCTCTTCTCTTTCTTTCTTTTAATTTTGATTTTAATTTACTCCAACCGTTATAGAAACAATATCTTATAATTTTCAAAGACGTACTTAAATTAAATTAAATTTATTATTCAAATTTATTAATTATAAATTAGAATTTAATAAACAATATAAAAGTTTACGCAAAGTCCTTTTATTATAAATTTATGTTTAAAAAATTCTAAATTAATTATCTGCTTAAATTGATATTTTTAATTTGAAAAATACATAAATTCAGTAAAATTTATGCTATAATCAAGCTATATTCTTAGTTTGATAATATGAATCTTTTTTATATTGATACAGTATATGTTCAATAATCTAATTTTTCGAAAGGTTAAATATAAAAATACAAAAATATTATAAATAATTAATATAAAAATCTAATAATAAAATTTATTATTCTTATCACCGTAAACGATGTTATATACAGTGCATGATAAAAATGTAATAAAATAAATTATTTTCAGAAACGTTATTTGAGAAGCATATATTTATAATTATATGTTTATATATATAGTATCTACTGATTTATATATATATATATATACAATTTGTAATATTTTATAC